ACAGATGTCTAAGGAGAATGCATGGCCAGAACATACCAATCCACCGAAAAGCCTTTGAAATCCATATTAACATGATATTTGCTCACCAACTGCCAGAAATAAGGCCACCTAAAATTGACATTTTAATATTTTTGGAGAATAGAACTGGAGCAGCGATGGACTTTTGAATGGTTTCCAAATGACACTGCCACCTACCACTCTATGAAATTACTGCCACCTACCACTCAATGAAGGTGACACTGCTATATTCAACTGTATGAAGCTGGAACTGTGTCTTTGTGCATGAAAATCACAGTAAGACTCTTCAACTCTTGCATACACCTAACTAGGCAGGAATTACATGACAGAGTCTCTAAACTCTTGCAAAATACCCACAGGTCTCATTTTTTCTCAGGATTAGCAGTGCCCTGAAAATTGGAATGATCAAACTTGAAGCAAAAGCTAAGAAAAATATACTAAATCCCCTGTGCTTTTGTGCAGACCTAAATGGAATCATAAAAATAATAACAAAAGCAAGTTTACTGTAGCAAAACAAAATGTGCTCTTATGTGAAGAAAGAGAAAATGAAAACTACATTACAGCATCAATAGTAAGGATTTCACTTCTTGAAAGTGGCTGCACAACAGCTACAAAACCTCAGACCCTACCCAGATACATCAGTATCATTCATTCATAGCCCTGAAAGAAAAAAGGAAAAGGGAATGGAAGAAGGGCACTTTACTCAGGGGGAAAGGAAATCTGCAGTTAACAACATCACCCTATCTATTTAGATATTTTCCAATCAGTCAGAAATAAATGGCCATAAGAAAAATATGATCAAAGCCCCAAACACTCTGTAAACATTGCATGATGTTCAGAGACATAAAAGGCACGATGCTTACAATTTGGAAGCTCTTACATAGTGTTTTTTTCTGTTGACAAGGAGCTGGGTTCACAAAACTGTATTTTCCACATACTGGTCCACCAAATAGCCATAGAAAAATACCATGGGCAGAACCACATTGTTCAGAAGTTCTGGATTGCTACAGTTCAAAGGTAACTTGGCCCATTAAAGGAATAGGAAAATTTGGATGCAGATCCAAACACCCTCCATGCTTGGCAACATTGAATCAGTTTGGATTTTATCCATCTTCAATCACTGAACATTCATTTTTAATTAGGATTCCTTGGGCCATGGGAGCTACCAGCTGCTGGACTCTGAAAAAGACCTGGCCATAACTCATGTCTCTGAAGGTAGGTTCCAGACAGACAGAGACCATCTTTGCATGCTGCCTGCATGAGGAAGGGTGATAAGCTGTAGTTGCCCTGAAAGGTGATGGCCAGGTGAAAAATGAAAAGTTCAGAGAGACAGTTTATTGCTGCAGGTGGGGAGCAAACTCCCATACATCACTCAGAACAAGCATAGCTCTCCTTAACAGCATATCAGGTGTGAAAGCAGGCAGCCAACCCCAGCCCCACAAGAGAGAGCTGCAGCCCTGAGAAAACCTTTTTTCCATGCTAGAGCCCAGCCAAAGCCGTCCAGTGTGAGTTGCAATGGATGCCACTGTGTCCCTCTGCCACCCTGCAACACTACTGTAAGGGCAAGCCACAATCCTGCTCACAGGAATCCTGCAGCACGTTCTGGAGACAGATTTGGGAATGCAAGTAAGACCTTTCAAAGAAAGAAGGCAGGTTAAGAACAGCCAGAGAAGGAGGACAGGACAGCAAAAGCCAAGAGGCTGTGGTTACCTCTCCTGACAGATGTGGCTTTGCAGAGAGGCAAAGGGGATTTGCACAGCAGGTCTCACCCCGAGCGACTAAAGCTGGTATTTCAATAACACTGCCCCAGGGAGAGAGGGGCTCCAGGCTCTGCAAACAGCCAGGCTGCGCTGTGTCAGCTGCACTGGAGTGCTGACTAGGCACTTTTCTCCTCAGAGCAGACCCATTCAGCAGGAAACGAGGCCACATGCGTGCTGCCAGAGCTGAGAAAGCCATATCCTGCGGGTCAGAGGCTCCACTGGCGTGCGTCAGCACACTTCCACACAGCAGCAAAGGGACGTGCGCTGTCTTACAGAGGGAGCTGTGCACCCAGCCTGGGCAGAAAAAGGCAATTGTACTGCATGTTCATTTGGCCTTTGGGATTTTTGGTGCGTGGGTAAACTGTGATGGCATCAGGTAAGAGACATAAAAAATCTTGAAAAAACTTTTTACAAAAGCAGAAACATTTCAGTAGCAACAAATGGGTGGAAAGGATGTAAGATTTTAACAGCAAAGAAAGTCAAATCATACAACTGCCACCTTTCCTGGTTGCCTCAGTTCCAATAGCAAACCCTTCCAACAGAGGGACAAAGGAAAGTTGCATATCATCCACCTGCAGCCCAGAGGTGAGAACTGATTTGTAAAAAGTCATCCAACAAATCTGTATTTAACCTGGGAAGATGGGAGGTCAGAAGTTTATGTTTGCCCACAGCTCACTAGCCTGACTAGTGCTGTTGGGCCCATGAGTATATCCTAAGGGATTGGCACAATGTAGATTTCCTCAGGTGTGTTAGCTGCTGGGTTACCTGATGAGTGCTGCTGGCAGTACAATTTAGGGATAGCAAGAGAGAGATGTGTACAGGTCCTGTTCTAGCTGTGCAAAGAAAAGCTCTCCCTTAGCAAAAACCTAAAAGGGCAGCATCACCTGAGCTCATTTATGCTATGACAAGTAAAAAAGACTTTCAGCCTAGACCACTTTTAAAAGTACCTCTGGAACTTTAGAATAAATATCCCTTTAAGAGTAAGAATCACTTTTTATGTTTTTATGTTGTTGAAGAAGTTTCAAGACGGAGCAATAAAAGCGATTCTACACAAAAGACAGAACCCACAACACAGAGGGAACTGTCAAAAGTACAGAGATCACATGCTCAAAATAGAGAGAGTATGTTTTCAGTAAACTGTCAGACACAAGAGACTTCATAAACTGTCAGACATGAGAGATTTCATAAACTGTCAGACACAAGAGATTTCATAAACTGTCAGACATGAGAGATTTCAGAAGTCCAGATGTGCCTTTGACTCCTCTTCTGTCTTCTATCATGAGTAAATACATTATATAAAGCCTTCTCCCCAGTTAAATGATCTAGTTCTGTCCCAAAGCTTGTTAGGGCTCTTGATGCAATTAAAGGAACTGTTGGTGCCAATAGGAATGGGGATTGTTGACCAACAACAAAAATTGATACTGACTCTTGCAGTGCATCTTTCAGCTCTGTAGGGCCCAAGCACTCACATGGGACCTTAGGCAGTCCTTACTGATGTCTTTACACCAGTATTTTGTACACACCATTAAAAGATTAGTAGGCTGAAGTCATTTATAAGAGACATGGCGTGAGGCATGAATGAGCCTAGCAGAACTATATGAGAAGGTTTAAGATGTCCATCCAGCCTAATATCTTCTCTCAAGCAACAGCAAGGAGTAGATGCATTGGAAGGGTATGCAAAGTCAGTCATCCCTGGTTTCCTCCCAATCAGCAGACCAAGGACGTCCTAAAATGGAGTTTCCATCAGGACTATCAAACTACATAATTGCTGGTAGAATGTTTCTGGTGAATTTGTCTGTTTGTTTTTGAATTAGTTTATCTCTTTGACAGGATTTCCCTTTGCTGTGTTAAAAGAGTAGATTTGAATCTACAAATTTTAATTACTTCCCCAGGCAGCATAAATTTTAAAAACTGCTTCTGCTTCCTCAAGTCTGATAGTGCCCTGTGCATAATCCAGACCTGTCACTCTCTTGTGAGAAGAGTTTGCTGTATGGACACCAAAGTCTCTTCCTGGAGGAAACAAATTACAAGATTTTAAAGGCAGTTTTCTGTCTCATAAGGATCAGATTTAGCACATGATAAATTATCTGTGATGCTTAAAAGCAGACATGTATGATCCTGTCTAAGCAATTACTAGGAGAGGGGTGGAGTAGCTAAATCCGTACTAATTGCCCTATCCAGGGAAGCAGGAATGCCAATGTGTTTGTATCATCCATACTTCATGCAAGCTGATATATAACCTATCATACCTGCTGGCAGAAGCATTAAATCCATATCTGGGGAGATTTGTAGGCTTTCAAGTGATAAACACTTCAAAAGGAGCACAGGGGAGAGGCAGGAATGGACTGCAAGGTGCCAACTTCCCTTGTCTGTTCTGGCCTAGCACTGTAGTACCATTTGTGAAAACAAGGACATTAACGTTAGGGTGATGCACCTGAAGCTACTGTATCAATTAATTTAGGATGGTTTTCGAGAGTTTGATTGTTAGTGGTCAGTGGGTGTGGTCACAGCAGAGGGCAAACACGAAAGCACAGTACACAATGTCCTGGCACAGGTGTCCTAAATGCCTACAGTGTTCATTCCCATGCCTGCTGAAGGGCTGCTCCTGCCTGCCAGACCTCCTTTTCTCCAGGCTGCCACCACCTGAACCCACGGAATGGGAGATAATGTTAACTAGAACTGCCAGGGAGTGGTGGTCCTGTTCCAGCTACAGAATGGGATGAGTGGAATGGGCATGAGGGCCTGCAAAATTGCCAACACATCCAGGAAACCTGAGAGGATGCCTGATACCGCCTTCCCCATCCCAGCTGTCTACCCCACAGCCTCCAGCTGCCGGGCTGCCTCACCTGCTCGTACAGAGGTTTTCTGTACTCAGGGAGGGAGGGAGTTTCTCATTTCCCAGCGACACCGACCCGTGTCCTTTGGGCAAGGGGTGTGTGTGCAGAGAGGATTGCGGAGGCTGGAGAGAGATGGAGCATCCCTGTCTAGCCCTGATGCCACCCTACAGGCATGGTGTGGACAGAAACGAAAGGGAAAGGGAGCGTGAAAAAGCGGAGAGTTGAAGGGGTCAGGGGAAGCGCAAAGGAATAGGGAGGGAAGGAAGAAAGCGCGAAAAAAAAAAAAAAAGGAAAAAAAAAGGAGGAGAAAGGGGAGGAGATGAAAAGCAAGGAGAGAAGGGAGGACCGGGCGGGAGGAGGCGAGAGGCCGGGAGGAGAGGAGGGAGGCAGCTCGGCAGAGGGGGACGGGACGGGACCCGGCGCCCCGCGGGCCATGCGCCTCCTGGCTACGGCGCTGGCCGCCCTGCTGGCCACGGCCTCGGCCCCAGGTAAGCGCCAGCGGGACCCGATCCTCCCTCGGCCTCGGTGGGACCCGAGCCCTCCCCCGGCCCCGCGGGACCCCGGCCCGCCTCGGGCAGCCCCCGCCCAGCGCGGAGCGGGCCCGGGTCCCGCAGCAGCGGGCGGCGGGACGGGCCGCGGGCCAGAGCTGGGGGCCGGGCCCCGGGGCCCCTCCGCCCGCCCGCTCCCTGCCCCGCTCCGCTGCCGCTTCCCCGGCTCCCGGCAGCAGCGCTTCTTCGCAGCGATCCGATCCTGTTTAGAAAGGAAAGCCAGACTCTCCATGGAAGTTCATGGAAATGGGTCCTCGGCCGTCTTCTCTGCCAGGCAAAGCCGAAGCAAAGGGAGATTCGGTGTTGTTTTTGCCACAGGTGCCCTGATCCTGTTGGCATCAGGTGGAAATGGAACCTGTAGGTTGCAGTTGTAGGTCACTTGTAAAAAGTGTCCTCCCTTTAAGACCCTTTATTGCTCTAAAAACAAAGGTATGTTGGACAGCATTATGTGTCCTGAAGCTGCAGAACAGACACAGAGTGTGGATCTGAACTTCCAGGTGCGGTGAGCTTAGAGGGGTGAGGAAGCCTTGCTCATTCAAGGCTAATTTAAAGACTTGAATTCGAACTTCGCTGCAGAAGGGCAGGAGATGGTGGAGGCAGAGGTTTGGTTCAAGTCCGTCTTTAGTCAGTGCAGAAGCTTTCTCTGAGGGGGGCTTCTGACTTGTGAAACTTGCTGACAGATCTGTTCAATTGAAAACGGCTGGTTGTTTGTCGGTGCTCTTGCTAGTCAGCTCCTAATTATTTTCATTTAAACAAAGAGCTTTGCTGCTTCTTGGCTCATCTGCTCTTTTTAATTGTAAAGAAATCAAACGAAAGCAGGCTTTAACAGTAGCATAGCTTCACTGAACAAACTACAACACAGATAAAAGCCACCCCATATGCTTCTGGTTGTGCAAAGCTAGATCAGAAGGTAAGCACCTCCAGTCCCCAGCTATCAGTCCTTGTGGCACTGGAGGCTGGGTTGCAGATTCTGCCCATCATCTCCATGGAGGAAGAGAGAGAGGCCCGTATACAGCACTAAACCTGGACTGTGAGCAGCTGAGCACAGGAACAGCTCCACTTCTATCTCAGCTGGAGTAACTGGGGTTCCCCACAAAACCACAGCCATGCTGAAACTGCTCACCACATGTAAGGACCCAGTGGCCACTGTAAGTCCTCTGGCACTGTTCCCGCACAGAAAGAGGGGAGCAACCCTGGCATAAACAAGATTCTGGGTGCTAGAAGTATAGTTTGGTACCCCTGACAGTGCTGTTAAAGTGTTTTGCTGTGTAATATGGCAGACAGCAAAGTCCAAATCTAGCTAATTCTTGGATTTGAGCTGGTGTAAGCAGAAGTGGACTATTTTCAAAGTGGATTTTTTAAACAGAGCTTAGGCAGCAGTCACCTTTCCTGAGTCCCCACAGGCTATGGAGACATGCTGGTGGAACATACCAGAGAAGCAAACAGGTAAAATGTTGGGATGGGAGCAACTAAGCAAGCTCATTGCAAAAAGGAGAGAAGTTTGATGGTTAAGCACACTGCAAAGAAATCACCAGGTTTCTGACTCTTTCTCCTCCCATTCTATAAATAATTTCCCTTTCCAAGCAGAAATGAGACTGAAACTCTTGTGGTGAGCTCCACCTGAACAGCTACATCGTACTAAACCAGGAAGGCAGAAGAAGATAAACAGTGATTCCTCACTTGAAACAGCAATCTCAAGTCTAGAAATTCAATGTTATGTTGGCACAGAAGCCTGTGCTTGAATTGTAAGGTCTCTTGCTCTTGGCAAGGAGCCCATTACAAGGGTAAACCTCATGTTGGGCCTGACCAGTGCCTGCTAAAGACAGGAGGAACATGTCCACTATTGTCTGAGAACCTTGAATGAGGGTTTTGCTTTCCACATTGGAGGGAAATGAACTCTTTCATTAAAAATCCACTGTTTCTCCTCCATTGGCAGTAGGAGGATAAAGTCACATGGATACTGTTTTTCTGCTTTATATAAAGCATCACCTGACCCTGTTCAACATGAGCTGGTACCATGATAAAAGCAGCATGAGATCTCCAAAACTCTTCCCATTGCTATACTTGTGCAGCTGCACCAGTGGGAGCCACAGAAGGAAGATAAGGAGATAGGTTCCCACTGATTAGAAACATGAAGGATGCAAAATTTGATATGTACCTATAAAAAGGCATGTCCCCAGAGGAAAAGTAGAAACATTAGGTATAAAATACCAATGTTTGTAAGAGTGTAAACAGCTAGAAAGGGATCAGAATCTGTCCATCATCACCAGATCTGACTTCTTCTGCATTTTCTCTTGAGTACTTTTGGCACTATGTTCTGCCTAGTTTGGAATTAAGCAATGATTTCTTTTTATTTTTGCCTTGTATTTTGGGAATCTGTTTCAAAATTACTCCTAGCCAGCTTTTTCAAAAAAGAAATTCACATGTCAGGAAAATGACATAATTGTTTTTCTTTACAGTTTTCATGACATGTTCACAATTTCAGTAGAAAAAAGGTCTGTCTTTTTCATTTACCCAAACCATAATTTTATAAATGATTTATTAAACATTCATTGTTGAAGTACATTTGAGGACAGTAAAAAGTGTTGGAAATCTCAAAGTTATTCCTTATTTACTAAGCAGCACAGCCTTCAAATTTAATCTTATTTTGATAGCAGAGACAGCCATTTACTGGCTTCCCTTCTGCTGGTAAAGCACCAAGGTTGGTAAGTCCAGAGAATCATAACTGAAGTTTCATGCCTGGAAAGCTTTTGGTGGGATTCAGCCTTAATTTTAAATTTCAACATCCTGTTCTACTTTTATGCTTTCTAAAATCCAAAATAACCTCTTGCTTTGGCATTTATGTGAATTGCAGACAAATGCATTTACGTGAAATGCAGACAAACATAATGCACGAATAATTTTATCAATAACCTCACCCATGCTTAGCTGTAATTTCTTCAATAATTTTCTTTAAAAACCCAAATTGTTCTTTATACAAAATATTTTCTCCTTCATAACAAAAAAATAATGTCTACTTGGAATAAACATGCCATTCAGTAGAGACTTTGACAGAAGTGGCACAAAATAATTATCATACTATTAATTTTCAGAATTCTTCTCAAACAGTTGCAATGCAACTTCTTTAATTTAGTGGATTTACTGTATGTAAGGTGATATAATTCACTACTTCATTTCACTGCTTCACTGGGGCTATAAAACCAGTGTCTCCAAAACTCCTTCAGAAATAGAATGGAAATACTTTACTTGCTTATTTTGAAGATAAATATATGTTTGTGTTTCAGGAGCTGATGTCAGACAATAGTCTCTGCCAAAACACTCATCCCCTTTGTTAAAATGTTCCTTGCTGATGTGCTAGAAAAGTGTCCAGAAATGAAAAAATCATTTTCCCAGAGTTGTAATTCTCATTAGAATTTGAGTACAGTACACTATTCACATAACAGGAAGTTCACAGTTTAGAGGACATTTCATGCTTTGCAGAGTGCATTGCAGGGAGTGCTTGCTCACTGCTGGAATATGGTTCTCTCTCTAGTGGATGCCCTCAGACCGGTAGATTACACATCACAAGTCATTTTGGGAACACATTGCCACAATACAGCACTGGTCAGAAATAGATCATTCTCTGATATGACTAATCAGGACTTAAAGTGCATTAGGAAGGAGATAAAACGAGTGTTGATTCCCATGCCTCAGAAAATCAGTCCAGTATAAATCAGTTCTGTCAGGAAAGGGAAAACATCCTCTATTTAACTGCTATGGACACTTCTTTCAGCCTTCACCTATACTGGTTATTACTAGAGAGACAAAGAACTGGTCTAAGTGATGGTTTAGGATGAAAAACATTAAAGACAAGAACCAGAAATTAATGGAACAATGGAATAATCATTTGTCCCCATATGATCTCATGTCATATTTTGTAATGCAAATACTGTCAGATTAACTTGAATTTGTAGTCAGAAAAACTCGTCTGATGAATTTAAGCCAAGTTTGAGATGACCATTTGATTATGACAAGGAGAACATTACTTAAAACAGAGGACATAGGGAACAATAGGACATAGAGAATTCAGTGGTCTTCCAGTGATAATCTAAGGAACAGTATGATGTAAGGTCTGCACAAATGATGTCTAAAAGAAGTAGACAGAAGCATGCACATTGAAATGCTACATTCTTAAATCAGCATAAGAAGAGGACAGCACATAGGAAAAACTGAGGATGGGGTAACAGAAGTGGAGCAGAAGTTAGAACAGCTAAGTCACATACTTGAGGATTAGTAAGAATTTCTTTGATACGCTGGTGACTGAACCGCAAATGACAAAGAAGGGAAAACACCCAAGTATCCTATTTATTTGACACCTGAGATAAAATCACATATGAAAGTGCCATGAGAAAGGAGGAGATAATTCTGGGATATACCAGGCAAGGTATATCCCAGTCAAATCTGAGCAGTACTGTGAGTATTCCACAGGACATTGAAGAACTTCTTTCTAGACACTGCCTGTAACTGCAGTCAATTACATTAAAAAAAAAAAAAAACACCAATCAAACCCAAAATTGAAACTGTAACCAATGTAGAGAAGGGCTGTTAGGGTGAATAGGAAAGACACTACTTTACTAGAGGAAACTAACAGAGCTTGTCTTCTTTAGCTCAACAAAGCAAAGGCTGAGGCCAGATAATTGTTTTGTATATGGAGTCAGGAAGTAAGCTCTAGAGAAGAAAGTGCTATTTTAAGCTTAAAGCTGGCACAGGAACAAATGAGCATAAACTGGGTATTGAAAGCATTTAGCCTGGAATTCCTAAGAAAGATGCAAGCTGTCAGGAGAGCTGATCACAGAGCAGTTTCCAAAGCTGTTAAAAGACCGATAAAAGATTACGTGAAGTTGGTCCTGTGACAGTAGCAGGGTCTCCACATCAGCTCTAGGTTATTGATTAGTGACAGAAAAAATGCTGGGGCAGACTCACTAAGGAGGGTCCCCTGCCATCCTTAACATTCACAGAGAGGCAGACAATGTCAGGTTCTACAAGGTCATTAAATTACTGCACACTAAACAGATACCATCAGTTTACCTGCTGTGGGCTTGCGTGCTGGGACAGATTATGGTGCTGTTGTGCCAGTATGGAGGATTCTCACCATCTTTTCTTTCCTTACAGATGTTTGTGAGGCTTTAAATGTGACAGTCTCTCCTGGACCAATGGTGCAATACTCTGAGGGGGATAATGCTACACTTTACTGCCACATTTCTCAAAAGAGGAAGACAGACAATTTGCTGGCTGTGCGGTGGGTTTTTGCTGCATCACCTGCCCAGGAGCACCTGATGATCAAAATGACAAAGTTTGGGTCTGTCCAGTATTATGGAAATTATACTCATCATTTTCACAAACAAAGACTTCATCTTCTTAAAGAGGAACATGGAACTATGTACAAATTTCTTATTTTAAGCCTCCAGCAAACAGATCAAGGACATTATATATGCAAAGTACAGGAAATTGGCAAACACAGAAATAAGTGGACAGCATGGTCAAATGGTACAGCAGCTACTGAAATAAGAGGTGAGAGATTACTGATTTCAAGTCTATAATTTCTTCTTGAAATCCTGTGATCCCTTTTTTTTCTTGCAAATTCGCCCATAAGACATTTGAATTTAGATTATTTTTGAGTGTAATCTGTGCATAGGAGAAGAAAACCTAATATTCACATTTTGCCTCTCTCTTAGTGTTTCCCTTGGTCTTAGTTCTAGCCTAGCAGCAGTTGGTAAGTAGGACTTCTACTCTCACTTCAGTACTATTGTTTATACCACTTGCAGCCAGAAAGCAGAGCTACAAAAGCAATGGCCAGCTTGCTGGTATTGAACTTTGGATAAAATGACCAGCAACAAATGGCAGATGTGAACCAAGTTGAAAACAAGCCATCCCATTGGTATGGATAAGCTCAAATGTTAAGTCACCACACTTTCAGAGATGGGTGAAGTTGGATTTTGGGAACAGACTCCTTTGCAGAGGTGGTTTTGTTTAGCAGCTGTGCCATCAGTGCTAGCTGGCAAACTACCCTGCTTGTGTCTCTGTAAATAGAAAAGTTCGTATCTCACAGGGACAACTTTAAAGATAATGCCAGAAAGCAGTGTTGAGTGTTTTCTCATTCACTGAATGATGTAGGTTCCTAAATGCCTGTAGTAGAAACATGTGGATTTGTCAGGAGTCCTTGGAGATGGAATGGCATGTTCCAAGTAAGTGGCAGCAGAAGAAAAAGCAATATAAAATATTGTCACCCCACCTGTCATATTCTTCCTCACAAAGAGACACTCCACATCTTTCATAGCTTCTCAGGCTATTGCTAATTATACCACTGAAACCTCTCATTACTTTTCATAGCTAAACTATGGAGTTCAGATCAATGAAATTATTGAAAAGAAGGAAATCCATAATTTTTCAGTCCAGTCCTTAAATAATATTTCTACCCAGATTTCAAGTATGAGTCATGAATATATGATTAGAATAGGGATTTGAGACCTCATGACTTCATCATTTTCACACAGTCTGCTCAGCTATATTGCTGCTCTCCACTTCAAATGACCCAAAGCAGAGCAGGAAACCTGAGACAAGAGAGGAAGGCTGGCCAGCCTGCAGAGAGTTTTTGACACCCTGTGGGGATCTGAGGCAAACACCACAACCACCCTGGCCTCTTAAAAGCATATTTATTCTAACTCTAAATCTAGATTAAAGATACCAAAATATATCTGAAATACTGCATGTCTTTAAATGTCATAGCAACTGTTTTGCCACTTAAAGCCTCTTGACTGTAAGCAAAGGACCACCTTTGCTAGCATTTGCCTAATGCACCCTGAGTGCACAGTACTTGCTGTGCTTGAGAGGGAAGGTAGCTCTTTTCCAAGTACTGATAAAGTTTCCAGTTTTCCCAACAGTAACACTTGGGCTTTTCAAGGAAATTTTATTCCAAACGCATTTGGTATTTTATATTATGATCAGTTACACTTTTTATTGCAAAGGGATTTACTTCTATTACAGTTAGACCCAGGATACAGCAAACGGAGCAATACAAATTGCCTGAAGCATTTGGATACTTAAGTTGTACTGCTTGTGCTTTATCAAATAAGGCACCAGTGTTCCACCACACCACAGTTGCTGTGTTGCCTAACATTTTGTTCCAGTAATGTCTCTGCAGTTATGCCCAAATTCAAAATAGTATCTCTATGCTAAAGCACCAGACAAATTTCTTAAAACTTTGCACATCAAGTAGAGGCAGAAATAGAAGAGTTTCTTTTTTAAAAAAAATTATTTACACAGAAAGAGGACGTTACTGTGCAAGACGCAGATTTCCAGGGGGAAAAGGATAATTCTGCTTCTTCAAAATGTAACTTGCTCTTGAAGCAAGTTGACAGCTGGATCTGTAGTATCGACTGCTATTAATTTATATTCAGATTTTGTTATTTGCTAGCAAGTTTGCTTGTGCAAATTTGCATAGGCCATTAATAAGTTGCAAATACATTTTGTCACAACACATAAATTTGTACAAATACACATATTGGACTTACAGAAAAACAGTTGAGTTACAGGCTGCAATTCCTTTCTATGTAATGATGACATTTAAATTTTACTTACATATCTGGCTTCTACTTTGATGGCAAAATACATTTCTTTGGAAAAGAAGCCTTTTTGTGGAGATGGAATCCTTACAGTTTTCTGTTCCTGCACTTGTGTCAACTACAGCAACTCTGTAGTGTTTTCAGAAGGTCCACCTGAAATTTGAAATTTGTTGCAAGTTTGCCCATTTCAGTGTTGTGAATACAAGACATCAGATAGCATTTATAAGAAGGCTATTGTTAAATCTTGTTAATAAAACCAAGAGAAACCCATGTGCCAGTGTTGCCAAGAAGTGCCTCCTAATCCAACCACACAGTGTCTTCTGTCTAAGTTCAACTTTTTCTCCTCCCCCATATTCTCATTAAAGGCATCTCTTCCTGGGCTTGTGTCATCAATGTCAGACTAAAACCAAGTCAATTATAGCAGAGAATACACAAAAAGCCAAATTTATCAGAGAAAAAAAAATCAGAAAAATGGTTCTTCTGCTCCCTTCCTATCAGAAAAATCAAAATAATCAGTATTCTTCTCAGAACAGTATTCAAAAAAAGCATCCCAAAAACATCATTTACAATTAGCAATCCCTCATGATACTGCACATCTCTTAGGAAGATGTTCCAAATGGTTTACAATCCAAGAGAAGAGACTACTTGTAGGAGGACAAACATAGAAAATTAGGCAGTCCAACTGTAATCCTACTGGCATGGACAACAAAAACAAGGAGATGATCACAACAATCTGTCTTGTTGGAAAAATTATTTATCAGATTTTCCCATAGAAGAAAGTCTGAGTTCTTAAATATTAGTAACATGTGGCAATTTCTAACAGTAAAAATTTTGCAAGATACACGAATGCAAGATTATTTTTTTCCCAAAATGAACAAAAGCCCTTTTCTCAGGGAAGTTATCCTGAAATACTTGCCAAAAATCTACACATGTGATGCTTTCATGTAACAAATGAGCAATTTGTTAAAATATTCAGGATGAGCTTCTCATCCCAACTGAAGAGAAGATTTCATTGGTCCTGAAAGTTGTATATCCATTGATCTAGCCTCACCCTTCACATGCCTGCAGGGCACTCCTTAGTGAATTCCCTTGCCAGTAAGATACTTGTTCTCTAATGATTTGCCACATGAAGCTCTCTTGGAGGTTCAGACCTCACAGGCAATCTGGAGGACATTGCCAGACTCCCATTTCATTGCAGTGATTACTAGAGAAAGAAATCCCATAGAATTGGCCTAAGTGACATCATCTAATCTGATATCATAAAAAATATCAGCATGCATAAACAATCTGGCTGAGGAGAGCAGAGGGGGTTTTGAATAACATTTCAGCAGTCAGAGCATTTGCATTCTGGTTCTAGACTGTACAGCTGTTATCATATTGACAGTCATCCATCCTCCTGAAACAGAGAGGACAATTCTGTGACAATTCTGAACTGTTTCATCAAAAGGCTATTAGACAAAGCAAGATCTTGGGACACTGAAGTCTAAGGCAAAATATATTTACTTCCAGAGGTTCAAACTTTTTATGCCACACATTTTTCAATTTTTGTCATGTCTTGTTTGGTTTCTTTCAGTGATTTCATCAAAATCTTCTGATCATCCCACTTTCAAGAAAAATCATGAAGCTTGGAAGTTTTTTGAAGGTAAAGATACATCTGACTGCTACTGTGTTTATACATGATGTTAGTTTAGTCCAATGGACAGAACAACTAAAGTGCCCCAAATCAGGACCAACTTTGCTAGTTCCTGTGCAAACCCAGCCTTGCCTGAGAAATTATCCCACAAAGTACAAGAGTTACCGGACAAAAGAGAATGGAAGAGTCCAGCTTCAGTTTCTCATCTATCTGATATGGCCAATGGGAAAATAACCACTGGAAATATTTTACAACACCTTAATAAAAGCCATGAGGGGAGACTAAGGCTGTAGTTTGAAAAAGAAAAAAATAATCATACAAAAATTTCAAGCCAGTGCTGCCAGCAGAAGAAGCAATTGCAGACTTCCTTCTTCCCCAGCCACTCAGCACTCTCCCTACTGCCACTTTTTGTGTTTTATTGTGTGTTTGCTTTTTTTCTTTGTTACAAAAACAAAACAAAACGAAACAAAACAGCTGTTTGAGCTGGGAAATAACCCAAATGAAGTCCTTTTGGGTTTTGAGTTGTTGCTCAAAAAATCTCCAAACCAGTTCTTTGTTTGCTCCTGAAAGGCACAACTCATAAGCGCAGTTATGCCTATTTGCATTTATGCAGACTTCAACCAAATTTCAAACTGAGCAGGATACTATAGGAAAGTTTCAAGAGGGTTAAACTACTTCTGAACTGTTACCCTAAATCTATTGGACCAGAGTCTGTTTAGATCTTGTAACTTTTTTCCTGTCCCATTGTCATGAAGCATCAGCTGCAGCACTGACCATAATCTGTGCTTGGTTTCAGATCTGTACGTGTACGCTGTGTTTGTGTGCTCCATAGGAATCATCAGTGTCCTCCTGTTCACACTTGTCATTCTCTGCCAGTCCCTTCTGAACAAGAGGAGATCCACAGGTGAGTGAAATGCCATTCTTGATGACTGTAAAGCCCTTGCCTAAAATGGAGCAGGGGGAGAGGAGAAGAGAATGCAGAGAAAGCAGGAAAAATAAATATTTCCTTACCTTGATTGTAATTTTAATTAAAATTAGTAGGAAGAGAAAAATTCTGCCAGCCAAATTAGAACACAGGCATTTTCTTCCCTTTAAATAGAGAGGAAATAAAACTAAATTTCCTTTGGGCTTTTCAAAAATCTTCTACCTTTGCACCAACATAAGTTGAAAGTAGTTGGAACTTCTTTCAGAGGAGACCAAATGCTGAATCATTAAGTTGCATTCTGACCAGAAGCTAAAATTTTGCATGAGTCATTTTTCTCCAAATGTGTAGAGGGGTTTCAAAGCAATGTTAAAATCTTAACTCTGTTCTATTTTATTCTCCTTTCTTGAGTAGTTGTCAATATTCTTGGGAATTTGAGGGGTTTTATTAGCACAATCTCACTTGCAGTATTTTCTGAAACTAAAGCATCATTTTAACATTCAAATCTGTCTTTTCATAATGATATTTCAAAATCAAGGGTTACTGTGTCATTCTTGGCCTCAGAGAGGGTTTCTCAAAGAGGCAGCATCAAAGCAGTGTTGTTGTAAATGGAAGTGCTATTTCAGATCTGTGATGTAACCAGTGCAGTTTGAAAGTGGTTTATTTGGAGACCTCACACAAGCTGCAGGGATGAGATACCAGCACACTTAGCAGCCACCACATCAGAGGAGAGTGTAAGGACCACCTCTGAACAGAAGCTTTCAGGAGGAGCCTGGTTAGTGAGTTGCTTTGTTAATGACAGGAGAGAATGATGACTTTGCTGCCTCTGCAGCCTACACAGGTCCCAGGAAGGAATGAGTGACTCAGATACACCAGTGAGAAGACATGCAAGCTGGAAATAGATGTATAGAGAAACCCTTGCCTGACCACAAACACATTTCAGATTGTGGCTCCATCTTCCTGGTAGTGCACTTAGCAGAGTAACTCTGATTCTAACTGAACCCAACAACTCAGCTTGCCAAGAGGAAGGAGCAAGATTGATGTTATTCTTCTTACCCTGTTAAGTGATGACAAAGGTTTTGTGCCAAGAGAGTACCCACACTTAAGTATGTTGGTCATGGTGAGTCACCCTGAAGCCACAAGCACTAGACTGATGTATCCCAGTTCTTCTTGAGCAGACATTGGGTTAGAATTTGCTTGTTTTTGTCAATTTATTGCTGTGAGCATACAAGCAGCTTGAAGGAAAGGTCTATTTACATTGAACCAACACCAGCTAAATATTGAATTAATATACAATATAGGATGAGGATTTACAAAAGAGAAAAAGTAGGTTCTTTGGAGGTGCTAAAACCTTCTTTGCTACCCAAATATCTGAATATTTGCATGCTCAAAAACATGTCAGCACTGTACATGAGCATTCCCTTACTCCTGAAGGATTGGGCCTACTGTTCTCCTATACATTTAAAAAAGGCCTGTCAGGTAGACAGAAGCACTGCCTTGACTGGCTTAAACATTGTCTCTGTATTAGTCCCAGCTCCTAGTGCCCTCAGCACCCATTTCCTTAGGATCAAAATGCACCACCTGGGAGCAGTATAGCTGCCTTAGAATGGGACAATTTAGCAAAGTCCAAATATGAAAACTTTCCCATAGAGAGGGGCAGGATCATGTGAGTGTCTGCTTTTCATGGCCCTTTAAAGAACGGAGAATGAGAAGGTAGGGGCACGTCTGTGTTGCATGCAACTTCACATCATGACCCAGGGATGCACTCTCTCATCCTTTTGAGATATAAATTGGCAGTAGGTTGACCAGAAGAGCCAGAGTCTGTCCTTTAAGAGAGGCATAGAAGCCACAAAGCCACAAAAGAGCATCTTAATAACCCTGGCTCCTAAAAGGCTGCAGTGGGGGCAGCTGCCCTTGCTCAGGACTACTGACTCAAAGGAATATGAAGAAGGATTTACACAGCTCACACACACAGCTGTCAGAGACAGGATGGTGGCTGGACTGGACCTCTGATCTGATCCCAGAAGGGATCCCTTTATGCCTGTGGCCACAATCTGACTTACATTAGCAACAGCCGTGGCTCCTGTGGGTGAATGGTTTATTTCAGGCTTCTGGAAATAAATACAGGCACCACAAGGGAAATAAAAGTCTTCAGAGTAAAATTACTGGCCTGCTGTGCTTTTCCTTAGCAAGCTGTCTTTTGGCTGGGCTGACCACTGGAATGTGTGTTGCCCAGCATTTCCACAGCACATTTTTGGTGTTGTTTAATGCATTCCCCTCTCCCAAGACTAGCTATGTCTTCTGCATTTGTGCTATGTCTTCTTCAGTCAGACTGCATTTTAAAGCACAATACAATGTATGGTGACTGTCATTAGCTCTCCCAGTGTAACAACCTGGCAACTCCATCATCTCAGCAACACAGGTCTGATGCAGTGCTCATTTGAAACACATAAACTATGTTGGTGTGAAGCTACATTTTCTTTCTTTTTTTCTTTTCTTTAACAGTGAAGCATTACCTGGTGAAATGCCCCCAGAACAGGTAGGAGATTACACATCTCTTTGCTCTAAACCAAGGTACCAGTTCTGGATTTGTTTTGCTATGTGTGCTGAAGAACTGGAGTAATGTTTTCAAAATGCTCATGGGAACATAAAGATTCACAGATCCCTGAATGTTCCTGCTGTTCATGAAAAGGGAGAATCTGCCTGGGCTAGCTGTAGGTCCTGCAGATGTTCCAGTGACAAGCCTCTCCTTGGTGTTCTGAATTGCTTTCTGAAGAAGCCTACTTTCATTTGTGTTGGTTTCTAGAGTTCCCCAACACCTCATGGGATGGTAATGACTTAAACTCTCCAAGCACACAGACCCAATCACAATGTTACCCAGGGAGTCCCACACCCAGGGAGGGAGTGGCGTTCAAAAGCAGATTTTCAAGGCCCATAGTCTGTTCCCAGCTGAAGACTCAAAGTGGTGGGAAGAATTCTTCTGCTGCAGTGTTAATCACTGTCCCTTTAAATACCATCAGCTGCCATAAGGTTTTTATGGTGTGGCTATAAAGCTATAAATCCATTTTATGATTTTCCTGATATGTATATTGGACTGGAACTGCAGTAACAATATATGACAAATATTTTACAAACAAAAAAGATGAAAGAGAGATGCCTCATAACAACACAGAAACACAGCTGTTTCCCAGTTTTCAGTGACAGAAACCATGTGTTTCTAGCCTTGCAGTTTAAATCCAGTACCTCTTGGAATCACATACTCTTTCTCATAGTCTCTTTAGACACTGTGGGATTCAATGCCAAGTATAGCACACCCTAGATCCTCCAACAGTGTGATTTTTAGTGCATTCTCATGGGATTATCATGGTATTCAATTTAACTGCCACTCAGATGGAAGTGAAATCAAAACAAAGCAGCACAGGGTTCAGGAGAGGCCAGTACAAACCAAAACTTCCACATTATTTATGGACAGATCTTTGTTCTGTGACCTTGACCAGCCATTGCACCACCCAAAAATTTAGAGACAGCTCAGCAGTTTTAATTTCTTCCTGGATGTGTTCGCTTTCCCCCTTCTTTATTAACTGCTGGGACAAAGTTGGAATTACAAGAAACAAACAAACCAAAAAGAATGGGAAGGGGGAGGAAATGAAAGTATACTGGTAGGGAACATAAAAAGAGAAGAAAAATGAGACCCAACTGAAAAAACAGAGCATGGCAGTGAGATAAAAATGCACACTGCAAACTCTGGCTCTCTGGAATAGATGATGTAGCAGTGATGCTGCTGCAAACACTGAACTTAGGGAGAAAACAAGCCAATGTGATTTCTTCACCATAAAACAGATTCTCTAGAACTGAAAGAAATGCATGACTCTATATGGATAAAAACATGGTTTCATGCATTTCAGTGTGACAAGCTATGCTAATGAAATCCTCAATCACACAAATGCATGCCTAAAGTGCATTGACTTTGGGGCTTTAAAATTAAATACCTATGACAGAGTTGCCAGCATCATAATTATGTTTCACACTTGGGACCATTTATTTTTCATCCTCTGCTCAAAATACAAACCATCACTTCCTTCAAACTCATTGCTCTTCACCTGCAAATTCCTTGTCTTGGAACTTAATTCAACACATTTAGACCCAAAGCCTACTGTCTAAATATCTATTAGGCCAAACTGATTAACTAATTTGCATGAGATTCTTGTCATTTAAAATTACTACTGTGCAAAATTCAGCCTTGATTAGAGAAGCTCAACTCCAACTCCCTTAGTGATATTTCAGACACAGAGTAGAGTCCACTTTCAAAATTACATTAATAGTCCGGTGTCTAAGAAATGTCTGTATTCCCACTGCAGTAGTACCTAAGCATCTTAAAATATTTTATGTCTTGACATCAGAATGATGTTTTTGCTTTTGATTGGAATCTAAAGCACAGCAGGCTAAATCATTTGCCCCAGGTCTCACAAAATGGCTGTGGTAGGAAAGAAAATTAAATCCAGATTTCCTGAGTATAAGAAAGCAAATGTTTAGGTTTTGGTTTGCTACTTGACCAATAACAAATTAAGGAAAAAAAATGAGTTGACCAAAACCCATTTCTTTACCACATTTTAAAAATAACTACCTAAATAAAATAGTATAGTTATTTTTAGTTTTCCAAACCACCTAATTGCGTTTTCTGGTATTTTCTTTAAATATCCTTCTTCATATTATTTTCCTTGTTGTTGGATCATTTTGCCAGTTTTCAGATCCAGAAACCCCCAGGAGGTGAAGCTTTGAAAGCAGGAACATTTTTTTCTGTCTTTCATGTTTGTGTTGGCCTGAACTCTCTAGTCCTTCAGTTACTGCTCTTCTGGAGATAAGTAATTGGAGGTAAATAAAGAGTTTTCCTCAGAAAGCTGTCCTTCTCAACACCTTGGTTCCACAGTGCCAATCTCACATTACAGGAGCACTTAGTGCCGCATGGAACCAGAAACAAGAATCCAGATATCCCTGGCACCTTTTCACACAACTCTCCTATCTGGAAAATATCCAAGTAACTCCCAGTTCACTCAAGTGAATTTTTTGTCACCCCCCTGCAGACTTTTAACAAGAAAAAATAGCTGACTTAGTTGGCAACAGGAAGAGTCCCACATCCTAGACTCTAATAAGGACAGCAAAGCCAAAATTCAGTAGTTTTCCAGGTCTAGCAACAGCCACGACCTTCAGGGCAACTGCTGCCCTGTTCCATGATCATTACACATCTTCCACAGGATACTTCCCCAAGCACCCATATTATTCTTGCTCTCTATAAACTCATTAGATCCTTCAAGAAATGCACAACATGACACCGTTGAAATAGAAGCCCAGGGGCTGAAGAAGGAGCTGGAGATAAAAAACTAACTTTCCTTTTAGGCATAGAACAAGACAAGCTCACAAAGAAGCAGTGTTTCTGGGCCAAGGAGTCTTTTCTGAGCCTCCTTGTTTGGTTTGAGGAGCTCAGTTCTGAGACAGCAAGTATAGTTATTGTATCTCCCAGAATTAGTTAACCCTGTGTGGCCCTGGTATTTAAAAGAAATCTGCAAGTCTCAAATACATTTCTTTGTAGCTTCACTTTTCCTGGCAAAGCAGAAATAATAACTAATGCAATGAATTGACACTAAGCTTAAAGAAGTTATGTTGTAACAACAGCATCTTTAGGCTATGCATCTGCCTTAACGACCTTGGATTATTAAAACCAAAAATATTTTTAAAAAAGCATTCTCATCTCCTTTTTGGTAGTCTTTCTTCTTAGTAGTTTGCTGTTTGTACAAGAAGCCAAGCAGAACAATTTCATTTTCTGCTGGTTTTAAACCATTTCATCTTGATTTTAGTATAGAAACAGATGGTTGTTGTGGGATAGGTTTATAGTCAAGCAGGAAGATTTAGAAAATGTTTCAGTGCAGCCCTCAGTTTACATAAAATGTGATTTATTTGTAAATCACGAACATATTTTATTTTTTAAACACTTTTTAGAAAGTTTGGCAGCAAACCTATGTTTTTGACTGAGTACATGAAGTAGAACAGAATACCAGCAAACCAGAGTCTTCTTGCAATCCACACAAGTATAAATCCAAAATGATTTTACCAGTGGTAGTGACATTCATTTGAATTTACAACTGTGTAAAATGTGTCTGTAATTTTGTTGTTCTTGCGTGGGCAATAGCTGAGACATCTTAACCTTCATTAAGTCTTTTGCCCTGAATACTTTACTCTATTAATATAAAGAATATTTTATTCTGTTAATAAAGAGAATATTCCATCATGCAAAAGAATCTGGAGAGGAACAGGAGCTTGGGACAAATGATATAAAATTCAGTGAAATAAGTGTTAGCAGTGTTACGACCATGGAGAGCCTGGTTGTGTTCCATGGCATGGTGGAACTCAGAGCACAGAAGGAAGGGTCCCTGTTGAAGCACAACCAAACTGCCCTAACCTTCCCCAGGGTGAGCCCAGGAGCAGGTGCAGCTGAGCAGCCACTGCTTACCAAGTCACCTCCATCACTGTAGTCACCATAACTGAATGGTTTACACTCTCCCCACACCCCAGCTGTAAGTTAAGATTCCTTTCATTCCCACTTAAGCCAGGACAATTTCATTCCCCTTTACCTGCAAGCAGGGAGCCCCTGCAGAGTCAGTTCCCACAGCTCAGTGACCCACAGTGACAGCCACTGCAACCTGACTGCAGATCCAAGCCTGAATATTCAAGGCAGGGTTTTTGATCTCAGCCTTTGGGAGGTGATAAGGGTAAAAAATTCCAGCAGAAAAGAGTCTGTTTGCAGTACAACTTGTATTCTTCCCTCATAGCTAAGAGCACCTTTTCACCACAGGTACACTGGGGAATGCTTGAGTTAGAGAGTGGAGCAGAGCTTCTTGTTTTATATTCCCTGGGCACACTGGCCCTCTTGAAGACGCCAGATTTTGCAGATGTGGGTTTTTGAGCTGCCTGAAGACACTTCTAGTCTCTCAGCCAGTCTTAGCCCAGAATCTGCATCAAAGATTTTGCTTTTCCATTCCATGGGAGCTTATGCAACTATTGTAATCTGCCTGAGCCTCTGAGCCTCGAGGGCAGCTGGGCAGAAGTTCACTCTGGGTGCAGCAGTGGGGTCATACATGCTTTTAAGGAATAGGTGCTATGAAATGGATCTTGTTTAAACCTGACAGTTTGCATTTTCTATGCCAGGATGAGTGAGACTCTTTGAGTTTCTCACCCATATTATATGGCTGAAAAAATGCAAAACCCAGATCATTTCAAACTCCCATAAGAGGTTTTTCATTTTATACCCAGATCACATTCCAGGTTGTTGGGCACAGACTCTCACAAGTGGAAGATGATGTGTTTGCCTGAACTCACAGGGACAAACTTTCATTCCCTCCTTTGCCTACATTTTCCCCTCACTTTTGGGCCTGTGCTTTGCAGCTCTGGGGAGACAGTTACCAGTGTGACAAGCATGTCTCCTCTACAGCCTAAGAAGGTAAAGAAAAAGAAGGAGAAAGAGAAACTGGAGCAGCCACCAGCCATCCCAGCAAAAGGTATGAAAACAGAAGCACAGAGATATTTCAAATCCTGAGCACAACCATGGAGGGACAGCAGAGTGTGGGACATCAGGAATCCTGCACTTTGCCACTGTCTCTGCCTGTTCTTGCTCCCATCTGGGGGGAGGAAATGCCCTGTACCTGCTGTGGGACAGGCTGGCACCTCCCTGCAGCTTTAGCCATCCTGAGATGTGATGGACTCACTCCCACTCAGTGAGTCCAAGCAGGAGGTCTCAGCTCCCACTAACTAGAGGAGAGAGAGGAACCTCTGCAGCAATATTCACCCTGCTCAAAGAGAAGATTAAAGTTAGGCAAGTTAAAATTTCATTTTGGGGGTATTCTGAGGGAAGCCAGCACATTGCACTCTTTAAAACTGCCCATGCACTTGGGAAGTCAAGCCAACTGAGCGGATAGAGACCAGCCTCTTGGAGACTTCATTTTCCAAGAGGATTTGCAGCTCCAGGGTCTGTCTCACTTTCTGAGCAATGCTGCCAGTGCTAAGCCAGTGGGAGAGAAGAAGGAAAGCACCTGAAGATTTGCTGTTGGTTAGGTCACAAATGATCAGTTCCCAGGGGGTAAATTGCTCTAGCATTTGCATACAAACAGCATATCTTGCATATCAGATTCTTCAATCTTATGAATTTTTCTAATTCAAAACATTCATTATGTTTCCTTGTATAAAATACCTGAAATGTGGTTAAACGCATATATAAGTACATGCATTTGCTTCTAATTTTCTATTAATATGTAATTTATGGATTGCTAATACATATACTAAAACTGACAGTGAATGATAATGATGTGAAATGATGCCTTAATATTTATTTTTGTAGCTCCAATTGCCAATAATTTCCCAAAGCCCAAGCTCTTGAAACCTCAAAGAAAATTGATCCTGGTGAGTAACTTTCTATGACATAATTTTTTGTATATTCTTCTCTCTCAATACAAATGCTGTATGTTGCCAGAACTCTAAGTTCAGATATTATCATACAGGTCCTTTTTTTTTTTAATAATAATTTTTCAAATGATGAATTATCTTGGTTCTTTTAATTTTGAGCATTATGTTACACTATATTATGTTTTCCAGCTTTCTGACTGTTGTCATGTCTACAAACTTGGCCTGCCCTTAAATGAAACCTGCTATTCATTCTCACGTGCTTCTAGCAGCTGGTGTTTTGGAAAAAAATACCAGTTACTGGCAGAATCATAACTGTACTGTTCACACTTCTTTTGAGACTTTTCAAGTGAGAAATGAGGAGCCTTATTCTGCACTTCATTGGTGTAAGTCAGAAGTGCAGGAATAACATGAATATATATAGCTCATACTAAGGAAAAACCCTTCATATGACAGTTTCTCTTGGGTTTCTCAAACAAGTTTCTGTTTGAAAAATACCCTTGCAGATACATGCCAGACAAACCAGATGGATGGTGAGATGTTTCTCTGCTTTTGTTTTAAAGCAGTGCCTGGACAAGACATCCATTGGGAATAGAGTGACAGTTTTATACCAACTCACTTCAGATGCCTACAGCTGCTGTGGTCTGCTCTGTTCTGTGTGTAGGCAATAGAAAGAGAGATGAGTTAGAGCCAGAGTCTGATACTTGTGGTAATTACTGCTCTAAGTTGCCTTTTGGGAATCCTTTCTTCTCTGGCAATAGAGAGATCCCAGAGAGACCAACTTTCTATATTAGGTGAAGGTGGGTGCCTAAAATTATGCCACTGGAATAACTCAAATGCCATGTGATGGTTTCACTTTCAGGTGAGGCTTAGAACTGGGAGCCTTCTCACCAATTATCAATAAAAAACCTCTACTTTTTACAACCCTGGATACCTGGGCATAATGCCAGGTAATTTGAGAACAGCTCAGCTAATACAATAGGCAATTTTACCTCTTGGGTATGGAGCTCATTGTTCCTCTACTGGTCCTGCTGGGATCACCCCTCAGCCAGACTCTGATTATACTGGTCAGGCTGTGGTCGAGGAAGAGGCAGAGTTTTAAAACTCCATGAAAAAGGTCTTGTGTTGACATGTGGCAGGCCAAAGCTATGCTAAGAGCACAAAGACAGATGAGAGCACTTGGCACCAGGGGTGAGAGCCACCCTTTGCTGAGCAACCAGAGTAAATCCCAACACCTGGGCACAGCAGTAATCAAGCAGTCTTCAGCCCTCTTAGGAAAGCTTTCACCAGTTAAAACACTCAGATACTTCCTGCAGGTCAACAAAGCACATCAACACACACTGAACTTGAAGTAAATCTGTTTCCAGATACTTTCTCTTTTTGGAATAATTCCAAGGATAGCCCTCAAATAGCTGTTGCTCCTCCCTTCCTGCTACACAACACCAGTCAAGGTGCAAACACTTAGGAGGTGAGCAGGAGTAATGCCTTCTCAAGCAATGAAATCAGCTTTGTCTCCCCTAGCACAACTGAGGGTCCCCACGCTGCAGGCAGACAGCAAACTCTGTTTTAATGCCTTGCTGTTGGACTTCAGTCAGGCAGCTGTTTCCATGTGTTGCTCTCTTCCCTTTCCTATTTCACCTCAGAGTGCACCCAGCAGCCCCCAGACAGTTCACAATCTATGGACATGAGTTAGTTTTAAGTTAAAAAGTGATGCAACAAATACAGACTCACCTAGCAATAAAGTGCATTAAGGGACAAAATAAACAAAGCCAAAGTCAGTCTATAAGGCACATTCAGAAGCTGAGCAGGGCACTTCCCAGAGCAATTTCCCAAGTCTGTTCCTCTTACCTCCTTTGACAACACAGTTGTCTATGTTTTTGTATTCTCAGGAAAAACTAATCCACACTTTCTGCTTTTAACTATTTTTTTTTTCAGTGAGGAAAATTAAACTAATTGAACTTAAAGAAATTTAAAGAAAGATAAAAAATACAGAAAATACAGAGAAAAAGACATAAAATACATCTAAATGAGACTATTTTTAATTTTAGTGAACTTCTCTCTCCATTTTAATTCTCAAAAAATTCTCAGATTTTAAATTTTCCATCTGCTTTGGGGCAAAAAAATATCATCATCCTGCCAAATCTCTGCAGGATAAAATAACCTTTTCTTTCTAACTGTAATGATTGCACAGCTGGTGTCTACACTAGGTGTTTTTTCACTGATGGCACACTTACCATGTAATCACTACTGCAAAGACAGACACAAATTGCTAAGTTTCTGGGCTACTTTTGCATCTTTCCTGTGCAACCCAAGGAAGAGACTATATTGGGGCACCAGGAGAATATTCTAGAAAACTTAAGCTAACAAGCTAGAGTGTAAAGGAACATTACAAAATAATTCTAGTGTTTTGGGAAATTTTTTGTAATAGCCTAAATACCAGCAAAATTATTTCCAGAGGACATATGCTTTTGGTTTCTTGAAAGATGTTTATAATAAGCTAGAGAATTTCTTTTGTTGTTAACGTGCTAGAGTGGGTTGCAGTATAATTTTACAAGAACACAATAACCTGGATAAAATATGGACATAATCTCAATGAAAATTAAAAAAAAAAAAAAAAAGAGAGAGAGAAAGCCTAATACCAAGTTCAATTGCACAGCTTTGAGTAAAGCCTTTTAAATATTCTGCTTAAGTCATATTGCTTTTGCTTTAGCCAGAATAACAATTCTATGCTCCCCCTGTTGCAAAAATATTCCCCATCAGTGTCATTCTCTATTAGCATCAATGAGAAATGTGTACAGATCAAAGGAAATAGAGATGCTGAAATGCAAAAAGGGATGTTTTTTATAGCATGCAAGAAGCACAGAGAGTCATTACGAAAAAGAAAATTCTGGGCGCCCACAAATTCTTCTCTCTAAGGGCTGTTCTGCTTTAGCTTTAACTACTTAGCCCTTTGAGTTGGTAGAGATAAATCTTCTACTTCCTCAACCAAATTTTCTGGTAAGGCTTTCATTGCCTCATAGAGATTAGCTGTCATAGCCCAAGAGTGTCAGTTACAGAACATCATCTAAATGAAAAGGCTTTAGTGTCTTCATGAAGGCTTAAACCATCAATCTGAGGAGCTCCTGCGTGATTCACTACAACCAATGGAAAGGATGCAACTTCAGGTTGGATCAAACCTTCAAATCTTCACTTAACAAAATTTTTGTTGACTTCATCATTTTCACACTAAATTTTTAAGGGAGGAATATCTGCTCAGATAAGACTGGCTGTAGGGAATCTGATTCTGCCACTGGCATATGCACTCTGCTATATCATATAAATATCACACTTTGAAATCAGGTATATATCCCCTGTGTTACAAATTATCCCTTGGGCTTTGTTCTTCAGACACATCCATGTAAGTGTCACAGTCCACAAAAGTTGGCTTCTGCTGTTCCTACACTGACCAACACCTTGAATACCCTCTCTGTTGAATAGAGTATATCTGGTTGTTCCCCAGCACAGAGTACAGGTTGTTCCTGTGTGACTTGTGGAGCAGAGTCCCCCCAGTGACCATGGTGCTGTTTAAGAGAAGCACACTTCTGCCTTCAGCTCAGACAGCATAAACAGCATTGTTTTTTTCAGCATGGGCTGGATCACCTGTGGCTCCAGGCTGCATGGTTACTGAGATCTGCTTCTGATGATGATGTAAAAACTACTTGAGAAACAGGAAGGGATTATGGTTATCTAAGGTGGAGGGAAATTTCTAGCAGTCAGTATTTTGCACAACTAGTAGGATTCCTCAGTAGTCTTAACTGTAGGTACCATTGGCCCTTCCCTTGAGAAAGACAAGGGAAGTGAAATACATGTGCTCAGTCATTTGTGAATTCTGGAGCTGGGAGCAATCAGGTCTTCCCCTCTACTGGATGACTTTAAATTAAAAGCTGTGCCACCCTCTATTAGAAGAGTTGCTTCCTCCACAACATGTAACAATGACTGATGATTTAAGCTCCCAATTTCTTAAGGCATTATTGATGTCCACAGACTTCCAATAAGAACATACAGATGATATACAAAGGGGTGATGAACAGTTTTTCCCTTGACTCTCTGTTATTCTTTAATAATTCCATTCAGTCCTCATAATTCCTCTCTCTGTAAGATGAATAATCCTTTTTTTTTCAGTTTCTCCATAGGATGTGAGATGTCCATAGCACATGGATATCATTTGCACATTCAGGTTGACACTTGGATCTCAACATACTCAAAGCTACTGAATTATGCCTACTTCCCCATTCAGATTGAAGTTGCTATCTTTACTCTCAAGAAAGAATAATTTGTATAAATACATAAAATTACTCGTTGGACCAGTGTTGAGGCTTGTGTATTTACAAAATGCCACAGTAGATGATTTTTGTGTTACTCCAAACATTTGGAGTAACAAAAGTGTCACCAGTGAAGTGAAAACTTTTAATTACTTTGTTGGCTTTTTTTAAATAATAAGAAGGAATCAGCCTGATTTCCAGCAATGCTGTTTTAGAATCTAGGAATAACTGCAACTGTAAAAGCCATAGAGCATTAGCAAAGGTGAGGATGCTCTTCCCCCAAAACTCATTCAGTGGGACTTACCAAATCATCTTCGTCCCTGACTCTGTAATCATAACTTCTGTGAGATTCAATAACAAAATTTAGATGCAATGGTGAACAAGTCTTCACAAACTGTTGTAGATATTGTTCTCAGGTAGTGTAGGAAACATTTCATGCTACAGGGAGTAAAAAACAGGCGTCTTAATGGGAAAAACCTTTTTAACTGATAATGCCACTAAAAGATATAATTACTGCTCTCCTTATTTTCCAATATTGTATTTCTTAGCTTCAGCACTGAATGTCTCTCTTGATATTTCAACACTCTTACTGGCCAGCAGATGGATTTCTAGAGGATAAGTCATTTTGCAGATCTAGCTTCAGAACTTCTGCAGAAGTAATTTTTGAAGCTCCTCTGTTACAGGGGAATCTCTGGCTTT